GGCCCGGGCCGCGGCCCGCCCCAGCCGCCGTTGAAGCTACCGGACCCGCCGCGCCCGATGCCAGGCGCGCCGTTGCGGGCGTGCGCGTGGCCCAGGCCGTTGCCATGGCCATGCCGCATCGCACCCATTATACCGCCGTTGCCGCCGCCGCCGATGCCGCCAGCCCCAAGGCCACCGGGGCCCCAGGATGGCCCCAAGCCGCTGCCGCCGCGCCGCGCCTTGCGCACAAAGTACCAGGCGGTGCCGACGCCAACCAGGGCCGCCAGCAGCACCATGCCCACCGCCAGGCCTATGGTGCGCGCCATGGACGCGTCAGGCCCGCCACCAGAGCCCGGGGCGGCCTGGAGGGGGTGGGACCGCGCGGACGGTTGCGGCGGCTCTCACGCAGGCGCCGCGAGTGGGGGGAGGAGGGGTCCCCGCGACAGAGTTGCAGGGTTTACCAACACACAACGCAGAATAAGGCACAGCGTAAGGGTCGTGCAGTGAGAGGGGCAAGCATGCTACGCGGACACAGTGGGTGTGCCTTGCAGCAACAGCCGCCGCCGCCGTGCTCTGCGTGCGGGGCTCACACCTCGAGCTTGTAGCGGGGGGCTGTGAGGCAGCGCCCCAGAGTGAGGGTCTGCTGCTGCGTGGGCTGCAGTGTGCTGTCGCAAAAGGCGCCAAAAGCGTTGGCCGCGGGGATGCTGGCGTTTGTGGCTACGAGCCACGCGCACAGTGCCGTGGCATTGACCTGCAGCACCAGAGGCGCTGTTGGGGGGAGGGAAAGCAATAGCATGCAGCACGAAGCGTGTGGTGGGGTCGTATTCAGCGTGCGGTGGGGTCGTATTTAGCTACGTGAACAACAAAATTGTGCCTGGAAATCGCGCCTGCCGATCCTTGAGGGCGCCCTTGTCATGAGTGCTGGTCAGCGATCGTTGAGCAATGCCTGGGGGCGCTGGGACACCCGCACAAGGGGCACGCGCGCTTACCAGCCTCACCTGCTGTCTCCGCATCCGCGCCCACCCCCGTGTACGCAAACACGCCGCAGGGAAAGCCCTTTATCGGACGCAGGCGGCTCTCCACGGCCGTCGGCGTGAAGCGCAGCGTGCAGCCGCCCGCCACCTCTGGCCCGTCCACCGTCACCGACATCTGCGCCGTGCAGTACAGCAGCTGCGAGACGGCCTCGTTGCTGCCGCACCTGCGCCTCGGCATCAGGGTGGTTGCGAGCAGTGGGCGGCGAGGCCGTGGTAGCGCCGGCTCGTTTGTCATGCCCAGTGTGCCGCAGCAGCTGTGACCGCTTCGCGCTCCCCTGCAATGGCGACAGCGGCTGCGGCTCACTTTGCATCGAGGTAATCTTTATTCTCGAGGTATACATATTGGGGGTCTGCAGAAGCAGCCGGGGGTGCGGACGCGCCAGCGGGGGCAGTTGATGCTGTCGTGAAGGGAGGGAGCTCGTGCGTGCACAGCACATCCGCAAAACACTTTCACGGTCAACGCACTGGTGCTGGCCACTCTACAGCAAACCCCACCCCGATTCTGATTCATCAGACGTCACGCGCCTCGAGGGCAAGCTGTCGAGGCCGCTCGCGGACACACTGCCACGCCCAACAGCAGCAGCAGCAGCACTGCGTCCGGTGACCGCGGCTGGTGGCAGCACCGCATCCCGCCAGCCCAGCCTTTCGATGTGTATTTGAACTACAAACAGTATTGGCCTCGCTTAGTGTAACATTTTGACCGTGTGGGCCTTGAGATCGTTCTACACGCGTGTCAGGTTGACGCATGCAACCAGAATTTACCAACAAGATTCGTAAGTAGAAATATCTGATGGTAAACTAAATTTATATATTGCAATGATGCGCACACTGCACGGTTCGGCATCCCGGCCTCTGCAGGCCCGCGTTCTGAGCAGGCGCTCTTTGTCAGTGGCGGCCGCACACAGGACAATGTCTCCAGAAGTCATCGACCGTGTGAGAGGCGCGCTCTTCGGTGAGGACAGCAACCGTGGCACCCCCTGGTCGGCTCTCTGGCACCGCACCACCACTTGTCAACCACACTCATCCCCACACATGCTAGCCCACTGTCTGATGCCATGGATGCATTTTGGGGGCTAGGCAAGGATGCATTGCATCACACGAGCTCAATGTGCGGGCTTTGGCTTGCTCGTGTGCTTGTAAGAGGCGGGGCGCTTCCTGCTGTCGGCCAGTCATGTCCAGCAGCATTGGCCGCCTCGGAGCACAGAAGCAGTCCAGATTGAACACATTTCGAAGATCTTTCATGCAAATCACTCATGTTCTGGCAGTTTCTCTGTATGTCGCTTTCAAGGGCGGCTGAAAGCGCTGTAGGGGTCGCGGCGCGGACGGCAAATTGGCACTTCGTATGCACTCAAAGGCACAATCGCCCATTCAGACCGGCACCCACCCAGGCCCTGTTTGTGCAATCACTGCCATGTGTTCGCCTCCCGCCCTGTGTGCAGGCGTGTACATTGCTGACGCACTGTCGATGCCGGTGCACTGGTACTATGACACCAGCGCGCTGAGGTGCGCGGCCGCTGGGGCGTACGCACGGCCGCCTCGATGGTGCCCGGTGCTCGCTCCCACCCCAGGCACGCCCCACTCACGGCGCATGGGAGCCGAGACCCCAGCTCAGGATTGTTGCAGCAGCTCAAGCGTCACACCTCAGCCACCAAATGAGTTGCAGAGTAATTGCCTGCAAGAGGCGTGGTGCAAACACACCCTTGCTTCGCTCCGTCATGTGCAACAGGCGCGACTTTGGGAGGATCACGACTTTCCAGGCCCCCAAAGAGCGCCACCCAGGTATGGCAGCCAGTCACCCGCTGCTACCGGAAGCTGCAGCTCATGCCCGTGGTTCGCCCTTTCAAAACCACGGTGCTGTGCTAGGAGATGCACGGGCCACCTAAGGCCCCCCCTCCTCCGCTTGTCGGTTAGCCCTGAGTCGACGCTTTGTTTCACGCTTGCCATGCAGGTAGCATCATGAGTGTGAGTAACACAGGAGGCCACGGGCGCGGCGACCAGAAAGGACGCATCATCGGCGATGGTGCGTAGCGCTCTCGGGCAAGGGGCAGTATGGTGCAGCAAGCTGCTCGGGTGCTGCGCGGCGGCACTGTTTGCGGGGGCGTCGGAGGCGGACGCGTGGCGTGGCGGCATGGACCATCGCGATTCGCGTCCCTTATAACATGTATCGTTCACCGCTCTTCCTGCCCTTGCCCTGTCACGTGCCGCGCCGCCGCATCACCTCGTCGCCGTCCCCCCAGTCATCAACCACGGTGAGCCGGCAGCCCCTCAGCTCTGGCAGGCCTTTGCCATCCCTTCCATCGTTGCATGGAGCAGGCACACGCGCTGTCATTGTTGCTGCTGGTAGTCGTATGCTTGTCAGATTTGGTATGGTGAGTGCTCTCTGCCAATACATCACAGTTCGACTCGTGTGCACCCTGACCTCCTCTGCGCCCACCGCCCCAGGCAAGCACGAGTTTTGGGGCAAGCAGGGCGTTCACTACCACCAGGCGAGCGGGCAGAGCCACGGCCCATGCTGCCAACGTACACTTGACGGATGTGCATCCGTTGCGTCCTGCCACGCCATGCTGATTTCCCCCCGCCCCTGCCCCCTTCCATTGCCCTTGGCCCCTGGCCCCTCAACACAGTCATGCACACGGCCGCATTCAAACGCGCACGTTCGCCAAACCCAACTAACAGGGCATGAAGGCGGGCGAGAACACGCTCAACGCGCTTTGCACCCGCCTGGTCACTCGCGACATCACCGCCAACGGCGGCAGGTGCGCACCCTTGGCGCCTGGCACAGCGCATGCAATGGGAGCTGCGGAGCCTGAGACTGGGCGCGCTGCTATCGCACAACCAGGGAGCTTTTTTGCACCGCCCTGCACCGTCAACAATGCTGCGTTCGCCCGCCTCCGCCCTGCCCCCCCCCCCTTCCCCGCAGCTACTCTCCCTCCAGCTTCCTCAAGGCCTACGTCAAGTTCATGACTACACCAGGGTCGCACAACGACACGTACGCAGGTGCGCACGCCACATACCCCTCTTGATCCTTTCTTGACTCGCCGTGTGTCCGCGCTTGTCTGCGGTTTCGTGCACACAGTGCGTGCAACAAACTGTTGCGCCCTCAACTTGGGAAAAAGCTTGACACTGCCTTGCTGTCAAGCTGCGGAAAGGTACTCTCTGACGCCTTGGGTCGACATGACCTCTGCCGGCTCTGTGGCTGTGACGCGTGCCTGTGGTGCAGAGTCCTTCCACCGGGACTTCTTCCGCAACTGGGCTGCCGGGGTGCCGCCAGAGGACTGCTCAAAGGTGGGCCGGGCAGCAAGGGGCTCGCCAGTGGCGCTCGCAGCCCGTGCCCTGGGGCGCGGTAGATTTTGATGGCTGCCGCCCAACTTGGCTCAGCTGCACCTCAACCGGGTGACGCCTGAACACCTTGGCAAGAAATAACCTTGCTGCCCCCTGCTTGTCCCTCCCTCCCCCCCCCCCCTACACACACACACCCAAAGGGCACGGAGGATCACAACACGGCCAGCATCGGCGGCTTTGTCATGCTGCCGCCCGTGGTGTTTGCCAACCTGGCGTCGGGCCGGGAGGCGGCGCGCAAGGCGGCGGTGACGCACCTGGGGCTGACCCACGAGAGCAGCAAGCTGGCCGTCCTGGCTGGGGAGTACGCGGAGCTGCTGTACGACATGGCCACAGGGGTGAGGGGGTGGGCATCACGTTGAGGGAGGCCGCACGCTGTTTGCTCTGTGCGTATGACCTGCTGTGGCCTGGAGGCGGTTGGGTGGTTGCTTGCGCACACGCGCGTGAGTACGTGCATGTGTGCACGCGCGTGTCGGTGCAGGTGTGTGTGTGTGTGTGTGGACTTGGGCAGGGGATGGCTGCTGATTGGTTTGGCGTCGATCTGTGCGTGTGCGTCTGTGCTTGTATGAACCCGCACCACAGCACATGATTAAAAAAACCCTTATACAAACACACGCCTGTCGTGCCTTGTTCCATGCCCCCGCCCCTCTTGCCCTGCACTTCGCCTCTCGACCCCCCCACAGGCGCAAGACCTGCGCAGCGCAGCGGTGGACGCGGCCAAGCTGGTGCGGGCCGACCTGCCCTCCATTGCGACGCGCGGCTACGACGACACCAGCGTCATCCACGGCATCTTTGGCAGCGCCTGCTACATCACGGGTGAACGGGGCAGGCGCGGCGCCTGGAACCTGGGGGTGTGCTGCACACGCACACACGACCCTTACCGCAACGCCTGCTGATCAGGCTGCTGGCCATGATATAGGTCGTGACATGCTCCCATGTTTGGGGCCCTATTCTGATTGAGCTCTCCCCCCCAACCCGCCAACTATGCCAGACTCCTACCCGTCCATGTTGTACCTGGCCTACAAGCACGCGGGTAAGAATAACTGCGAAGCGCCCGCAGCCCAGCCTGCAACTGGCATGTATGAGGGTCTCAGCAAGCAGCTGCTGCTCCACTGGGTGTGCGAGTGTTACCCTCCCAGTGGGCGCCTTGCTTCAGCCGTGTCTGTGCCTCCTGAGGGCATTCAGGAAACCGTAATAAACCCCTCCATTCCCCTACAGACTCCTTTGAGGACGCGGTGCTGGCCAACACCAACGCTGGCGGGGAGAACTGCCACAGGCAAGGCCGGGGGATCGGCAGCACCCAAATTTGTGTCCGCGCAATCACGTGCAGCACCCGTGGCAGCCTCCTTGTTCGCACTGCTCGCTCAGTAGGCAGTGCCTCCCAATCAAGGACACTGAAGCACGCACGCTTGCCAACCTTGCTGCTGTGCTCACGGCCGCGCCCCACTCCCACGCCTGCTCAATTTCGCAGGGGCGCGGCGCTGGGCGCCCTTATGGGCGCTGCCCTGGGCGAGAAGGCGATCCCGCGGCGCCTGGTGGAGGGCCTGGCGGACTACCCGGACATCAAGCGCGAGATCGACGCGTTCTGCGAGGCCGCGCTTGGGACGGGCCAGCGGGCGACTGCTGCTGCGGCAGCTGGCGAGCTGTGAATGTTCATTTGTTGTTGCTGGGAAGGTAAACATGTAACCCAACGAGCCTCAGCATTGGATTCATTGCCAGTATGGGCTGTGCAACACCTGGTACCGTAATGTGGTGTGCGGACTGCGCCGCTGGGCACCGCATCCCTTGGGGGTGGCACAGCCCGCAAATCTCCCCGATTTGCTGCAATCTCTTCTATACCAAACATACAGCGCAAGTTTTCTGGCGCCCTCGACTTGGCTTCCTCCCGCCTGATCACGTTGATCTTGTCCCAGTGGCCACCAGCACCTCCTGCCAAGCATCACCGCTTCTTTGCTTTTGTTTATGCTGTATTTCTTTGCGGAATACCAAAGAATTTGTTTGCCTTCACCGAGCACAGCAGCAGATCGGCTTCAGGCACCTTCGACGCGCGGCAGCTTGGCAGTAGGGCGCCGTCAGACAAGCGCATCCGAAACAGGGAGGAGCTTTGAAAGCCAAGCGCGTTACAACAGCAGCAGCGAGCATGGCGGGTCAGGTGAGAGCCCGCCGATTGAAGATCACTCCAGCGTTTCTTTTTCTCGATCGCCCAGAGGACAAATATTTGTGAAACGGTACTGCTGCTGCAGGGTGGTGGAGCGGGCGTGCTGGGCCAGGGCGCTACAGAGGACCGCGGCGAGACGGCGCGCATGGTGAGCTTGGCGTGGTGCTAGCAGTGGCGCCGCCACGGACCAGTTCCTGCTGGTTTGACAAAGTCTCGACAGCTCGATGGTGTTTCGCAAGCAGCCTCGCCTGAGATGTGTTATAGCACACGAGCGGCTCGGCCGTGGGCAACAAGGTGGAGGCCAGCCTGTGACGGCCCCCGGCCTCCTTTGCCCAAACAGGCCGCATTTGTCGGCGCCGTGGCGGTGGCTGACCTGGTGAAGAGCACGCTGGGGCCCAAAGGCATGGACAAGATCCTGCAGGTGGGTTCCATTGTGCTACGGCACCGAACAAATCGCGCCGATGCGTCGCAGCCCGGCGGCAGGCGCCCCTTTCGCTTAGTGCTGGAGTGGCGGCGGCTCGTGTTTCTGCCAGCCCCCTCGCGCCCTGCTGACCGGCGGCCGCCGTGGCTGCGCCTCCTTCCTCCCAGAGCATGGGCCGCGGCCAGGAGGTGACGGTGACCAATGACGGCGCCACCATCTTGAAAGCCATCCACGTGGACAACCCTGCAGCAAGGGTGCTCGTAGGTGAGCGCTGCACACAAACGTGCTTGCACCAGGCATTGTGTCATTTCCCAGGATTTGGTGACCACTGCAAAGCAACTTGGTCAACCCCGGCCCCCATCTCTGCTTTCCCCCCGCGCTCGTGCTGTCCGCAGACATCAGCAGAGTGCAGGATGACGAGGTGTGCGCGGCCGACTCAACAGGGGTTGCAAAGCGCGCATGCCCTGCACGGGCGGCCAGCTGAACAGGAACGGCTATGCACTCCCGCAGCGCCTCGTTGGCGGCGCGGGGCGCATCTTGTGAACGGTTGCTCGGTCGTGGCGGGAACGGTTGCCGCCATCTGGCGTGCCCGCGGCCACGCAGCATCCTCGCTGCTTGTGCCAGCCCTCAGAGCCCCTCCCGCCCCGCGCCCCGCCAGGTGGGTGACGGCACCACGAGTGTGGTGGTGCTGGCGGGGGAGCTGCTGCGCGAGGCGGAGCAGCTGGTGGCGCAGAAGATCCACCCCATGACCATCATCGCGGGGTACAGGTGGGCCGCGCCGGCACCAGCTCCGGGGCCGGGGGCGCAGAGAAAGCCCGGCGCGCTGGTGACGGTGGGGATGCGGGCTTGCAGCCGCGCGGTCTGTCAGCCTGGCGCCTGAAGCACAAGGTCTCAACGCGGTGGCTCTTCATGACCGCCTGTTTGTCGCAGCCGCTGTTGGCCGTACGTGGTGGTCCCTGTGGTCCCTTACCCTTGTCGTGACGAGAGCAAGCCACTTGCATCGCCCACGTCACGTCCCCGCCCTCCTGCATCCCACGCGCCCGCCGTTCCCCTCCAGGGAGGCGTGTGAGGTGGCCAAGGCCTCCCTGAAATCCGGGGCCTTCAGCAACGTGCAGGACCCAGGTGGGCGCCGCGGGGAGGGGTGGACCACGCCCGACAAAGCACGCGCCGCAGCCTCCCGCGGCGGCGAACGCGCTGGAAGGCTGCCGGCCGCCGCCCCGAGGCCGCGCACCCCCACCCCCACTGCGCGCCCCTTCCCTCCTTGAGTGCAGACCCTCCACCCCACCATGCCTTCACCTCACCCGTCCTCTCCCACCCCTCATCTCCCTCACCTCCCCCTTCTGATAAAGCCCCCTCCACTACCCCACCCCCTCCCCGACCGCCCCCCAGCCGCGTTCCGCCGGGACCTCTTGAACATCGCGCGCACCACCCTCAGCAGCAAGATCCTGACGGGGGACAAGGAGCACTTCTCAGAGCTGGCGGTGGAGGCCATCCTGCGGCTCAAGGGCAGCGGCAACCTGGACGCCATCCACCTCATCAAGAAGCCGGGGGGCACGCTCAAGGTGGGGCGACACGTGAAGGCACGCAGCGCGTTGCCAGGGGGTGGAGGACGGGGTGTGGGCGGCAGCGGGGCACGTTGGCGTGCTGCCGCTGTTCTGGCACACCTTCGGCCATTCCTGAACACGTGCGACATAAACAATCCTGCGGCCAACCAGGACCCTGCCCTTCAGAACACCACCCATTGTCTCTTGAGCCCCGCCCCCTTCAAGCCCCTTTCCCCCTCTCAACCTCCCCCCGTGACCCTCCTCTACACC